TGGTATGGACTTCTAAAGCCTAGAAAGCAAATATATTGTTGTCAATGCTGGATGGAGAAACTGCTTGCTCTTAAGCAGTAAATCCTGATAGCTGGAGGTTTGCGGTGAAATTTCTTTAGCTTCTGTTGAAGGGCATCTAACAAACTTTAAATATACTTGCTTTTGATATAATAAACTAATTTGTAAGGAAGTAGAATGTGAGCTATGCATTCCAGTCAGAGAAGATATAACCAATTAAAGTTAATAATAATTTATAAAGTAGATTAAATTTTTGCTGCTCCAAGTTGTCATCCTATTTTGGTTCACTTAAAAAATGATGTCTGACCTGAAGTCAGGATTTGTGAATGTCTTGAGTACATGCAACAATATGGGAATGATCACACTGCTGAAAAAATTATTCATTGAAATGTGCAAGGGTAATTAGAAGAAGGAATGTTTATGCAAGGAATACAACATGAGAGATAGATGCACGTTCATTTTACATTTGTGGAAGTGACACAGCTATTTAAAATGGAAGTACCTTTAAGTACCTTCTTTCTCATAACCGGTATATCAAGTATTTTTTGTTCAATCACAGTAACAGGAAACATTACAAAAAAAATCTCTGCTGGGGAAAAAGAAGCAATTGAGGTGTGTGTATATGTTTATGTGGAAGAGCTGATTAGATTTCACAGCTTGTTGACTAGAACAAATATCTTCTGTAAAGTCATGAAGTTGTACATTGCAGCAAAAACTGAGATGAAGGCCTGTATTGTCCAAAATTTTTACTCATCCCCCAAATAAATGTATGTATATTGAAACATTAGCATATGAGTCATTTGGAAATGCAGAACTGTCTTGTTCTGCACAACAGAATCAAGTCATCATGCTAAAGAGATGCTAGCTATTGTAAACACGGAGGAATATTCTGGGTGAGGTTCATCTCAAATTTACCTAGACATCAAAACGTGAGATACTTCAGTGTTTGGTTTTGTGGAATGATAGAACTTCTAAATAAGAGGAAATCTGCCCATTTCTTCTATATTTCTGTGTTACTATAACATGAATTGTCATAACTCATACTTTACCCTACTGTCTTTAAAAGAATTACTATCAGGCTAACTTTTATATGCCTACATCTGGGTTCTGTGAATCCCACCAGTTTATGAAATTATTTACCCCAACTATAATGTTTTACTACAGTGCAAATAAAATTAATAGAAATCTACATGGGCTGGAGCAAAGAACCTCTGCTGTTGATATGCAGATATGAGTCCTTTTCCTGACTATCTTGTAGTTTACTGAGTGTTTTGAGGTGCCTTAGCAGTGACATCTACATTAGCAAATTAAATACTTCCATGTATCAACCCCAGGCACTGCAGCTTGCATGCCCGTAATGTCAGATTGCTAGAACAGCTACTGACCCACTTTTGCCTTGTGCCAGCTGGTATTCTTTCCAAACAATTTCTGCTTCTAGTTCAGGAATTAATGTGGGCTACTGACTGTTCCCAGTAGGCAGTCTGGATGAGGCCACTTTCATGGAAGACAGCTTGGTAGTATGGATGCCAGTTCTTCTATGTCAATTGGCCTCAGTGCCAGGGAACTGTCCCAATCCCATTTAACTGACTAGTAAAGAGACATCTATCAATAACTGTACTGTTGTTATTATAATGAAGATTGACTTTCTTCTGGCACTGTGTTGGTGTGGTATCTAGGTAACGTTCAGAAAAAGATGAAAGAAAGACAAGAGTTTCTAACACACTTTGTAAAGGACCCATTGCTTACACTGAAGCTGTTACCTGCTCTGTGCCTTAGTTAAGACAGTCACTTGTGTAAAATAAATGCATCAATGCTGTCTCAAAATTGATTTTGTCTGGTGAGACAGATGATTAGTAGGTTTCCATGTTGATCGAGTAGTTTGATTTCTTCCTTCTTTTGTGCCTCTTTTATAAAAATTTTTACTTAAAAATATCTGAAAGACCCTGAAAATTCAAATGAAGCCAATTTTAAGCTGAGAAGTGTTAATAATTGAAAGTAATCAGGTTGTAGGTGAATATCATGAGATGTGTTTTTCCAGGACTTACTTTTTGGAAAGAAAGCCTAGACTTGATGGAATAATTTTAGAAGTCTAACTTTCCACGGTAAAAATGACACCCCACCGTTTTTCTTAACTAGATTTAGACCTGACCAGATTCTAGCCTTATCAATGCTTACTTGCTTATCTGTCTCTCAGTTTCTTGTTTGAGGAGTTCTTTATTTCTCTCCAAGTATCTTGATATGTTATGCTTAGGGTGCAAAATGAGTTATTCCACTCCATGGTAACTGAGTATCAGTAGTGTATTTGAAGCATATAGGTACAAAGATTAAAAATGTCTTTAAATTCTGTGAAGAAGAAAACTATTAAAAAGCTAAGCAAATTTTATTTTTCTAGTAGTCAGAAATAATCTTGCATGTTTACATCAATAGCTGTGTTCTGCTTTATTAAATTCTAAAGTGCTGTTTGCCCACTTTGCAAGAAGCACAGACTGGTATATTAGAGATGCAGGTATTTCTAAGAGTCAGAAAGCTATAAAGGTAATTTATTAAGTCAGCAAATCTCATTTCCAAAGTATGTAGGTCTTTTTTTTAACAAACTTTAACAAGTTAACAAGCTTTAAGAAATTAATACATTTAGCAAATGCTGAATTTAAATCAACATGACATTGATATTTAAACTGAACTTTTGCTGTACTACTTTTTGAGGTTGCTTCTCTGGTGTGAACATGTTTAACAACCAATATATAATTTGTAAGGAAAAAAACACAGTATCTTGCAGGAACATGTAGCATTGAGATTTTTTTTTTTTGGATGAAACTAAAAAGGAATGTTATGAGTTGCTGTTAAGAAGAATGTCTGTAGAAAGATGTTCTTTAGAAAACAAGTTCTTTAGAATTTCAAAATAAACAGTTACATCCTTGCTTTGCATAGGAAAACTGACATGACAGCATGAGCTCCCTGACATAGAGAGATATGGAATTGTTTCCTTACTTTTACGTACTTCTAGATATGTTTGAGTGTTATGAAACCTGAGTATAAACTGGACTAAATATTTTACGAAGGAATGTAGAAAGAAGTGAGACTGGGAGGAAGTAGCTAGGCTTCTGATCTCTCATTGAGAGTTTTTGCAGTTATCAGTGAAAAGTGGGAAGTATAGTTAGCAACTAAAAGCCTAAACACTTTCTAAAATCTTTGCTAGATATGTCTAAATGTTGATATGAAACTTTGGACAATAACTCTAAAATAAAGGTGTTTTCTGCAATTTATGTTTAGAGAAAACTTTTTCAAAGTTCAGTGACAGTTCAAAGTCAAGAAAAGTCAGGCTGAAAGCCAGTCTCCATATTGAGAAATTCCTAACAAAAGTCTTCTTCCCAGTCAAAATCTTTGCCCCTGAAGTTGAGGTTCTTTTTCTGAGACAGGCTTCACAAAACTGTAATACATTATGTCATTTTTGTTCCCTGAATACCACTAATGCACTTCTTTTACAGGAACTGCCACAGTTTTTCTAAGCAATGGGCCCATAGTTTTAAGAGTTCTGCCCTTTTCTTGCCATCTTCATTTGTCCAGTGATCAGTATACTTTCAGGAGACAGCTTTGTCAGTTCTGTTAGGAAAATTATTTTATGGCACACTTGAAGTCAGATATTTGTCTGTGTCTGTGTTCTCTTTAGTTTGTTGTCCAAATCACACTTCAGAAAGCCAATAAAGGAAGACAAGACCCAAAAAAATAAGTGCTTATGATTAAATCATACTTTCAGTGAAATTCACAGTTACCTCAGCCCTCCAGTTCTAAAAGTGAAAGCATAATGTTGGGAAAAACCAAGCAAAACAACTGTCTTACGTTACAGAGCTTTTCAGAAAGACAGATAAATACCAGATTCAAATAATTGCAGTCATAAAAATATTAATACTTGCTTAATCTGGTCCCTCTAAGACACAGAGGAAGAGAAGGGCATGCAAATCAGATAATAAACATTAATTTTGTTATTTGAACTTTTGTATTTCTTGGTTGTTTTGGGTTTGTTTGTGTTTTTGGGGTTTTTTTTCTCTCGTGAGTCACAGTCATGGTTTGAAACCTAAGGTATCTGAAGACATGCTGTTCCTGATTATTTGTAAAGTGCAATATGTACAGCGTTTCTTTCCCATGTGTACTATAATAAATAATTACTATCTCCTTTACTTACTTTTTATAAATCAGTCATTGCCTAAATACCCATTTCAGAATGACAACACTTCAACAATTAATGTTTTTGGGAAGTTGTAGGTCAGAGAACTGAACATGAAGCTGTATGTCTGGCGGGGTCCTTTTTATCAATTTACTCAAGAATCTTTTAACAGTATTGTCTGCCTCATTTATGCAGGCCAACATTGGAACTGTGTGTTTGGAGTTAATTTGTATGACCCTTTGCTTGCTATACATGCCTTTCTTCTTACTGTGAGAAGTGTCCATTTAGTAACTATGCCAGTACTGTGTATGCTGTATAAGGCTGTGGAACATACATACACAAAAAATCCTTCTTTCTAAGTGGGTCATGAACCCAGACAGTTATTTCCTACTAGGGACTTGTTTCCAAACATAAGCCAATGATTAAGAATAGCCTTTGAAGAGAAACCTGGAACATTACACCTTCTTTCAAATTTAGAGATTCCTTTTTAAATAAATGATCTTTAGACTTGTTTGTAGTGTCTGAAAGTGACAACCTTACCCCACCTAGCAACTTACAAACACTGCTACTTATTGTTATTGCCAGTAGATGGCATTCTTTATATTAACCAAATAAACAACAGCTGGAAAGTTTTTTGTCAGCTTTTTTTTTTGCAGGGTGAATGATAGACATTTGCTTTTCAGGGTATTCATGGAAATGATACATACCTGTTATTTTGAAATGTTTGACAAAATTACTTCAATTCAGCAAAGTGATCTTGCCTTTTTCTTTTTTCTTTTTTCTTTTTTTTTTTCCAAAATGAAAGCGATTTTGGAATCATGTAATGATACAATTCAACTGACTTAGTAATGTTTACTTTTATTTCAGGTGAGGAAGAGGAAAGGGGTTTTCTTTTCCTCTTCTGAAAGATAAAACAAAATATTTAATGGAGAGTTAGAGTTTAATATTGTTGCTTTCATTCTAGAAAATTTTACAGAAATTTTTTTCTGCCCTATTGCTTACAGTCTGCAACACTTATAGACTAGAGACACAACCATTTTTTCTGTAGTAGTTTCTGTAGTAGTTTTCTGGGCTTTTCTGTAGTAGTTCTGTAATGACATGTGACAGAACTGAGGGAATTACCCAGGGACATGAGTCCAGGTGTAGTTTATAGCTCTCCAACTGTTTGGTGGGGGGTTTTTTCCCCTATTTAAATGCTTAAACAAAAGCCCACTAAAATTAACAAGGAGATGTATACTGGCATCAGAATTTTTTTTCACGTTTCAATGCATACTGAAGTAAGGGGGCTGCTATCAGAGAAAGGTACATTAATGGAAGCTAACCAGAAGATTTTCATGCATTAATCATATTGGAACCCATGACCTTTGCAATGATAAATGAGCAAGAGAAGTGTAGAAGATATTTCAAGATCCATTAAATTTCAAAATGTATTACGTATTCCAGTGCATAATGCAGATATTGATCTTTGTGGCTTTTGCATGTGCTGAATGTTTATTTCACAGGCACCAAGTAGATAGGAGCCAGACACCCCCAAGAGAGTGTGAAGTAGAAGACTAATTTTTCCAGCTGGGATACTGGAATACAGTACATTTAGTTCAGTTTGCTACCACACATGAACTTGTTCCATCACTTTGTGCCCGTACAGTACTCAGATGTGAGTTTGAGGTGAGTCAGAGCAGCAGCCTCTCAGAGTCTGGGTAAATGACCCTTCTCTGGCCAGAGTAGGTACTGCCAAATGTGGAATACTTTCCAGCTACAAACTATTGGTGATGACAAATATGCATCTATGAAATAAGGAATTCATATCAGTAATGGCTTAGTTTCTAAACCTAGCCTTTGAATGGCAGTTACTTTCAGTACATTGTAGTGTACAGCTGTGTCAAACTGAAGAACTAAGTAAAAAGACCCTTTGTCCCAGCAGGTCAATTGACCTAGATAGGCTTAAACCCTCTAATACTGAAGAAAAAAAAAATAGATTCTTATCTTACTGCACATTTGTGCTTACTGAAAAAAAAATCTATTTTTCCTGGGACTATCAGAAGTCCTGTATATTGTGAGCTGGCTGCAGTGGTGATTCTTGTCACAACCCTGTAGTTCGAGGACCAAGCTGAGGGCCAGGGAAGCACAAAGATATTTTAATTATGTTTATGATTATGGACAAAATGCACATGGAAAGAATATTCAGGTCATCAGTAATGCTTTGCTACCCAGAGGTTATCTCATTTACCCAGTCTTCATTGGAAATGTCCTTCAAAAACGCTGCTTAGGGAAAATGCTGCCACATGAATTTGTACCAAATGCCACCTTAACACATAAGGAATCACATTAATTTTATGTAGCTTGAGAAGTAAGATGTTTTTTCCTCACTGCACAAAGGTTCAGATTTTTATGCAGAACATGCACTGGAGCATAATTGAAGAGTAGCTCAAAGTGTTTCCCACCCTTTAAAGATTCATATAAGCTTTGAATGAACTCTGAAGCTAAAAAGGATTTAATATAAACCAGAAATATCACAAACATATGCAGACATGGCTTTATGATATAATGACATATTAGAATTCTGTTTTCTGCTTATCTGTTAAATTAGAAGTTCAAATTAATATTTGTTGAGTAAATTTGATTTAATATCCTAATCCATGCCTTTACCAAAAAGCACAGACTACTAATCTGCTTTATCATTTTTGGAATGATGATTAACTTGAGCTGGAACGCAAATGTTATAAATTCTGGATCTTTTAATTCAAGTTTTTACTTGGAGCAACAGTTTTTGGGTTTGTACCCAAATGAGTAATAGTTTTGTTTTATTAGTTTCAACATGTTTAATACTTAAAAGCTGTTACCATAACCAAGAAATATGCTGATCTTTTTTCCACTTCTAAATGTAGAAAGAATGGGATAGATAATCCAAACACCCTGAACTTTATTTTGTATTAGCTATCTTTTTGTTTCGTATCACAGACTCAAAGATACTTCTAGATAGCTCTGTGTGACCTTTGCTACTGATCCGATAGCAACTGGAATGTGATGCAACACTGATTATCACATAATACAGAATTTGCAAGAAAAAAGCCTCTTGGTTTCATATATATGATGTAGTGAATTTCACTACTGGCATCTTACACTGATTAGTCATAGGTGACCAATTTTTGACTGGAGATATCACCATAATCTTATGGTAAAGAAGTTGTTTGTCCAGTTTTTGTGAGGATACAGAGGAACAGTAATTGAATAATAAACATTCAATGATAACTTTATAAGCATTTTGAGTAATTAACACAGCAAAAAAGAGTAATGATGAATAGAGGAAGATTATAAGAAGTGAAAATATGGTTCTATCATTTCCTAAGCCTTAAGAGTTTTTTGTTTTTTTTGCAGTGAAGCAAAAGGCAGGGGGAAAAAAGCTCTGAAGAGACAGAAGGCATTTTGAATATAAAAAAAAATTATTAATTAATACTAATACAGGTTTTCCAAAGGCCTGAAATGAAGTGCATTATGATGGGCAGTTGTACCTAAATCAAAGCAAGTTGTGCAAAAATCTGTCACCTGTAGAATTATGTCACATGCCAAAATTCAGGCATTAATTACAGTTCCATTCTTGAGTCATCTCAGTGAATATATTAACAGTAGATCACAGGACTTTCAGATAAAACCTCTCATTCCTGATGCTGAGTATTGTCAAGCTTATAAGCATCTTGAAGAGATCATCAGTCTTTTGGGTAGGAAGCTTGCACATCTGTAAATTTGCAAGTTTTATCAGTTTCTATTTAGATTAGGTAGAGCATTTATCAGATGACAAACTTTCGAGGATAATCTAATAAACAGATACTCTATAGAAAGAAAAGTGATCTGTAAGAGTTCGTTCTCCTATTCAGCAGTTTTTCTTGCTTCTATGTTTAATTTGTAAATTTTTCAGATTAGAGTTTATTTTCTTTATAGCAAACAGTTATGAAACTTGACATGATGGGTTTGGATCAGCTAGACTTAGCTGCAATGCAAATAGGACATGGAAACATATGCAGTGGTAAGTAATATCTCAAATACAAAATCTGAGGCTCCTTTAGGTGTAAATGATAACTCACATTAAATGAATGACCTTATAAATAACGCTCACTGGTATGGAATTGCATATTGACTATCATTTTGTCATATGACAAGTGTATCTGTATTTCTGAAGAGCTCTTTCTGAGGTGCTAAATGGGGTTCTTTCTCAATGGGAATGACTCATATCATCACAAATTTGATATTGTGACATTTTCAAGTTTTATTCCGTTTTGTCAATATAGCTTAGTGTTAGATTCTGGAGAGTGTTATGTGTTGGCTGAATTGAATCAGCAAGGTGACATAATCTCATCTAGATTAATCTAAAAGGATTGTGGAGCAATAGATCATTTAGATAATGGAGTGCTATAACAATTTATTCTGCTTAAAATCTTGTAAAATAGAAATTTCTCTCCTCACGGAGAGGTGACTTCTTGACAGTCATCTTTTATGAGTTAGAAAAAGGCTATTCCGCAGGTTTTCTCTGGGGGTTAACATGTCTAGATTTCCAACAATGAACCATTTAAGGTGGGTGACTATAGGCACTGTATTTTCAAATGTAAAACTTAATTTTCATTTATCTTGCTTTTGCTCCTTTAAGAATTCATATCTGTGAACAGCTGAGTGGGATTTACTTACATGAGTACTTCCAGAAAGTGAATCTCGAGTTCAGAAACTTAGAGATTTACATTCTTACTGCTGCACTTCTATTTTTGAAAACTTAAGACAAAGCTTGGCTCAGCAAACCAACAGAATTTTTCAGTCTCCTTCCAGAGGCAAGTAAATAAACCAGTCAGGGACCTGATTACAATCTTTAAGTAGAATTACTTTATGTCAGTAAGGATTGTGCGGTGCTAAAGGAAATGCACTCTGCAGTATCTTACAGAGAACATGTTATAGTTTCTACACCCTTTTGTGAGAATCCCAAATACCTTGTGCCTTGTGCCTTGCAAGACTGACATTTCATTGCAGTTAATGCCCTTGAATTCTGCTGAGTATTTTCTATATAGTTCTACATATTGGAAACCTTCAGGGGTTTCTTCATTTGATGAAATAAACACTTGTTAGGAAATAATTAACTCTATATTTCTTCAAGAAGTTTTCGCTAAGTTTTCATATTAATGATATATTTCTAAAATACAATTTGCCTAACAATGTCAGAAATGTTTCAGTGTAAGGCACTATCATCAACAGCAAAAAATCACATAATCAATGTGTAATGTAAATCTTCACTCAGCTTTCTAAAACTCCTTTGGAGACAGAGGGGGCTGAATGTAGAAATGTTTATGACAAGGTGGAGTGTTCCTGATGTATCTGAATATCTACATACAGCTCAGTAGTAAAGCAGTAAAAAAAGATAAAAATAGGATAAACTTGGAATAATGTAAAATGGACCTTGAAGTTGAAGAAGAAATTCAAACGCAAAAATAAATATTCATTCTCTTTTCCTCCTGCACAGCGTGCAGTGTCAAGGTGCTGTGGGGGGTGGGGTTGCAGGAACAGCCTCTATGAAGGATGGCTGGAGCTGTCCCATGCCAGGCACAGCTGGTTCCAGGCAACTCCAGCCAATCCATTGCAGGGCACAGCTGAGTGCCTCAGGCACAGTGGTGGTGGTAGCTCTGAGAAAGTGTGTTTAAGAATGATCAGAAAATGATGGACAGAGAGGAGGGAAAAAAAGAATAAGAAACAGCAGTATGAACACTGAGGTCAGAGAGAGGAGGAGGAAGAGAAGGAGGTGCTCCACCTCAGAGCAGATATCCACTGCAGCCTGTGGAGGACTCACACTGGAGCAGGAGAGAAGTGTGAGGAAGGAGTGGTAGAAAGAAGATGTTGTGGCCTGACCAGGACTTCCATTGCCCCCTTCCCCTCTGCCTCTTGTGGCACAGTAGGAGAGGAGTCAGAAGTGTAGTAGTGAAGTTGAACATGGGAAAGGAGTAGGAGATGTTTAGTTTCAATATTTGTCTTTTTGTTTCCCAGTACCCAAATTCGTAATTGAATATCTATTTAATAGTACCAGATATTAAATATTCATTACTAATAGTTAAATGTTTATATTATTATTACAATGAAAATTAATTCTCTCCAAGTTGGGTCTGTTTTTCCAGCTGAATTTAACATCGAAAATCAGTTCACAATTCAGATGTTTAGATTCCATACAGACATGTACTGAGGTCATTAGTTTCTGTTTTATTTATGAATGAAGCCATACCTTCAAGAAAGGCCTATGACTCTGATTTGGAAGGTGAACACAGCACTTTCTCTGACTGCATTTTGATGATTAAAGACTTTCCTTACTATAACCATTTGCAATATAAATACCCTACAAGAATTTAAAAAATAAACAAGCATGAATTCTGGGACTGGCCCACTAGGAAAGAGAATAAAATGTTCCTTGTTCCCACAAAATCAATGCTGCTTTAATGATTCATTTGTCAAATGGTAGTTATCTGTAGTCAAGGATAAAAGACTAAAAATCATTTAATGAAATTTTGGGTAATGGTGGTGATGGTAGTCATGGCCTAAGACTGAATATTGACTGCTAATACCTGGTCTGAATAATCCGGGTAGGTAGAAGCACAAGCTGTCAATACCTTCCCAGAATTTTCTTACAACTAAATTTCAAATAGTGTTATTATGTCTTAAATTGGTGTCATATTAAAAGAAATATCTGGGTAGTCCAAAGAATCAATCAAAAAATCATCATTCAGGAAATGTAGCCATTTCACTGTACTTGTTTTTGAGTTTTCATATTTTTAAATGAGGTCAAATAGTACCAAATTTGAAATTTCTTTACAATTAGTACTACATGGCCACCAGGATAGGAAAGAATGGTAGATAAAAAATTAAGGCAGACATCTCTAATAACAGGAAAAGTTGATGCTATGGAGAAAAAGTTGAACAGTTGGGACTTAAAAAATGTCTGGTTTTATTTTTCCCCCCCCAGATCCATCTACTTCATTGATAAACCAAAAAATTTCTGAGATGATATTCTGGATGTTTGTAGCAGTGAATCTGCCTTGTATGAGAAAACTGTGGTTTAAACATGTTTTAAAATGGCTTTTTTGTAGTCTCTTTGCTAACTCATGTTCTTCTTCCCAAAATCCCCCACGGCCAGTTCTTATCTCTGTCTCAGGAATGTCCTGAGAAGATATCAAGAAGTCTTCCCATTGGACTCTTTTAACCCCTTCCTGTGATTGGGTGTCCTGTAAGCCCCCTGACCCTGTAATTGGTCACTCTTTGAATCCTCCTAGGACCTATATATGTAACCACCCTAACAATAAAGCTCTCTCTCTGACCTCCTCTCCAAGTCCCGTGTGCTGTCTGTGGCTGCCATGGGACCACATAGTGGGGGGAGGGGGAGCACCTAACCCCTCCATGTGTCCAGGACCCGAAGCTCCCCTGGAGCTGGAGTAACCCCTTCCCTACCCACCTCAAGCCTTCGGAAATGGAACCCCACAATGGGAGGAATGCAACCAGAACTGGTACCCCAGAGAGGCTAGCCATAGATGTTAGCGACATGATGAGTGGAACCTGTTCTCCATGCCAAAAGGTCCCAAATAATAGTGTTTCTAACTAAGCCTGCAGCAAAATTTATTGTGCAATTTTTACACTTCTTACTGCTGTGTAGAGTGCTGTGAATTTCATAGAATTTGTAGTTTTGCAGGTAGCTTCAAGGTAACCTCTTGCTTCAGTCTGAGATAGTTCAGATCCCTCTTAATATTTGCTTTCAGAGACACCACATTGGTGTTCAGGAAGGATAAAATACTGCATGGTGAGTCTTTTAAATGGCACTATTTGTGCGTGAGTAGATGCATAATGGCAAGCTAATGATTCTACTGTGTCTATATGTTCAACAAACCAAACTGAGGTTTATGTTTGGGCTCTGCATTAGTCACCAGCTATCTCAAACGTAATTTCAATTACTCTGTCATTTTTTGTATTCTCTTAGTGCCTCTGCTTTCCACTGGAGTTGGAAGCAGTATTTCTTTAAGCACTGTATACCTATGCGGCAACAAGTGATGACTCTTGTCTGAAGACGTTTCCTGTTTAAGGAGGGACTGTTCTGTTCCAGTGACAATAAATAATGGCCCTTGGGAGATGAAAGGGAACATTACCTTCTCTGGCTTAGTGTTAGCTGAGATTTTAATTGTTCTCTTGTCTTCTGTGTTATCAATTATAATGTCACTTTCTCTGCTCCAAGTTTCAACAAAATATATGTTTTATTGTGAGGTCCAATATTCCCCTGTAAGAAATACATAACCAGATACTTTAAGACAGCATGATAGAATATTTTGAACTTTAAGTCTTCAATGCTAATAACACCTTCTTTCACTGCCCATAATGGGGTTCAAGAACATTCCTAATTGCCTACCACCTTAATGGATCCATGAGGGGTGTTTACAGTAATTAATATTTCAAAATAATACAGATTAATTAGATTTCATCATATATTTATTGCTATCTTCATATTTACTCTGTCAGGGATTCTTTATACTGCTTCTTTTTTAGAATTGTTTGGGTTTGTACTTGGTGTTATGAAGACTTTTGACAAAGAGAAATATTGTGCAGTTCTAGTAATTAGGACAGACTTGGTATCTGTACGAGAAATTTCAACGTGATTATCTACTTGATTTTTTAATTCACATCTTAAAAGCTGATTCAAACAGGACTTTGGGATACCATAAGGAACAGAAAAAATTTCAAAACAAAGTGAAAATTCTTGCAGAATTATGTTTAAGTGCTTGTCTAAGTTTTATTTGTCTCCCTGCCAGGTCCCCAAGACCTAGCACAAAAACCTCTAGCAAAGGTAAAACAAAAAAAAACTATAAAAAAAATCCAGACTAGCCAAACTATATTAAAATATATGTACTTACTTATATTACAGTTATATACAGCTGAAATACTATATACAATCCCAAAGGGGAAAGGGAAAAGGGAAGGGATAAAAAAAGGAAAAAAAACCAAAACAGATATATGCAATCAAAAAAAACCCTCAGGATCTAGCAAACTAAAGAATTAGTCCCTCAGTAATATATATATATATATATGTTATATATATATCATCATGGCTAGGCTTCGCGAACGAAGATTTGGGAAGGGCTCGACCCAGGTTTGTTGCAAGCGCGTTGGTGGCTAAAAAGGCCAATGCGAGATAGCCATGTCCGATTGCAAAAGGCAATTTTATATATATATAATATATATAACAATATCTTACTACTTTCCTTGGGATAGCACAATCGCCCAAACGCCGCCGCCACGCTACCGGACCCCGGATCAGCAGGAACAACAGGCCCTGTAGGCCCGGCCAGGCCTCAACTCCCCACACAGGAGTGAGACTGGCCTTGTGGGAGTCTGCTGTCTCCAAACCTCGCTGGAAGGGAGGAGAGAAAGAGGCTTCTCTCTCCATCTCTTTATGTGCTGGATTACGTAAAGGAATAGGATGGAATACTTCCTTCAAAACCATTACAGTGCTATTTGGTAGAAACTGAAAGGATTATCTTCATTTTAGAAGTGCAAAGTGCAAATGCATCAATGGCAATGAGGTTTACAATTTTACTCGCAACATCAGTGTATGCAAAATCATATAAAATATTGTATATTCATAGCTGTGTTCAAAACACTGCCCATATTGATGGTTGTGTTTTCGTTCTTAGGAGTCAATGAGAACTGTCTACACCACTTTCAAAGTTTTGACCTGCATCTGAAGGTGCTGAAATGATCTTTCTGAATGTTGTTTGAATTCTCTTGGGGAGTGGGAGAGGAGGAAAATGTTTTTAGAATAGAACAAGACAAGGAGTAATTTCCTCTCCTACCCCTCCTGCCCTGCCCCCCCTTTTCTACCTTTTGTTTTTCCTTCCTGAAAGTTTACCATTTGATATCTGGAAAAAAATGAGATTCTTTGTACACTCAATTGAACAAGAATGGTTCCTTAATTAATAAATTTTATATGCCTTTTCTCATCTGACTTTTTATAAGATTATTATGTATGCTTGTGGACCCATAGGCAATCTTGAAGTGGTCCCTGTTCTTCTGTGAGAGATGCATGGTAGGGAGATGAGCTTTGTAACATGGAGTTTGGCATGTTAACTGAATTATTCTGAGTCTTCCAAAGATTCCGTGGTTAGTGAAGGGATACAGAATCAGATATACTATTGCTTTGCTTCAGTACAGCAATCCCTGCATTGTTCTGTCTATGCTGAATCAGGATCTCTGAGTGTTTTGGTTGATTTATTCATACAACTACCTTAACAGATATTCCATAACAAGTGGTACATTTTAGCTTCCATATAAACAGGTACCACAAAACTATTTTTAGAGTCATCTGTAAACATAAATAGATGATGTCTTCTGTCAACATACATTATGAGGTTACAGTCAAACTGACCAGTGTTAACGTAGCATTCAAATTCCTTCCATGGATAGGTCTTAACTTCTAGGAAAAGAGAAAAAAAGGTTGCAAAACATATGCATGTATTCCTTAGTCAAGTTGTTGGTTGCAGAAGATATCTGAGCCTATCCACTTAAACTTCTTTTTCCTATTGAAATTACTTCTTTTTTCCTGAATCACTGTGAAATCTACATTTGTCTTCCCAACTATTTCAGACACATCCTGCAGATACAACTAATTAAGAGGCAACCACTAGTTGGAGTTTCCCCCAGTGCTTTCCACTGATTTGTTTTTGTTTATGATGTGCTTTGTTTGCTTCATTTCAGTGACACATTTGTGCAGTCTTATTTAGCCTTTAGAGCATCAAGTTACTGGAGCATTAGTGCACGCAGCATGAAAAGAAATGAGTCATTCACCCATTCCCAATCTTTTGTTTCCTCAGCTGATTGAAGGGTTCAATAAATTACTGTGGTTCATAATGACTGTAGAAGTTAAACACTATTTTTATCTCTTCAGCTGTGTTTTAAATACAGCATTGGGATCTATCATTCTGTCATGGAGAGAGGCTCTGGAAGCATATGACAACTTATAATCTTTCCTCCTTCACATATTCATGAGAGAGAAAGATTATGCATGCAAGCAATAACTTTACACATTAATTATTGAGTCAGATATCAGGAAGACCATAACTTCATGAAAGACAATGCACAGAAACACTTCGATTTGAAGAAAAGATGAAGCTCAAGGGCAAAGGTCCTAAGGTTTGAATAACAGCAGATAATTTCTTGTCCTTCCTCCTCTACCCCTTATCTGAGTCTTGGGCTAGAACATCTACATTATGAAAAGTCCCAAAGGAAGAACAGAAGTGAGCAGCAGGAAATACAGCTCACTATAAGGCTGTCTGTCTTCTTCAATTTGTTTGAATAACTTTCTGTGGTGTTTGGAGTGTGTTCTAACCTATGTATGCTCTTATATCTCAACATCCTTACCGTATCCAAATGCCTTCCAGTTGTCTGCTAAGGAACAGTGCTACCCCTCAAGACTCAGTCTTTTTCTCACCCTTTTCCAAAGGAAGTGTTTTGATTTGAGAAGTTGAATTGATGATTTATGTCAGGAGATGTTGAAAAAGAACTACACTTTGTCCTCCTGGCAGAAAATGGTAATGTTTGTGGCAGTCTTCATGCTTTTAAAATTTCAGACCTCCTCCTGAGAATCTTTCACTGCAGCACAGATAAGACTTCTTTTTGTTGTTTCATTTAGGATATAATATACTTTTGTGCCTAATTTGGATTTGTGATCTTACAGTAGACCTCATGCTAGAGCTTAAGACAAACCATCAAGTACTATCATCAGTGACTGACTGAAAAATAAGAACACAATATTTTTTATACAAGCTGTTTGATTTTTTTAATCAAAGAAAACTGAAAAATAAGTTGAAATTTCTTGATATAACATTTAGTAAGATTAATGATGTTGTAGTTTCAGACTTAAAATTGGCTTATATCTGATGGGAGGTCTTGCAAACTTTCATCTTCCCTGGAAACTACACTTTTAATAAATGTGGACCCAAGTTTTGATAATCTAAGACTGAAAAGCAGAGTAGCTCATTCTACTTTAATGGATTTCACTTCATTTCTAACTCAGCATTTTTTCTGAGGATCTGCACCCAGTGGGGCAAGTAAATTGAGTTACTTGAAGTGTATCCTTTATAGAAATTTGAAATCTATCACTGTTTTAAAGGTAGCTGGAAAAACAAATATTTTAAGAATTAATTTCAGTGTTACTTAGAAGTAAGTAAAGTATGTTGTTATTTTGATTCTGGTTCTAACTTATGTATTTGGAAAAAGCATAACTTATTATTAAAAAGTAGTATACAGCCATTGCAGATACAGATACATAACTTCATTTCAAAGAAGAGCGGGGTGGTGATGTTGGGTTCTATAAAATATTCCATTTCCAGATTGTTTCATATTTTTTTTGATGAATCAGAAAGTGTTGAGTGCAAATATGCGTAGTGTATTTCCACCACAAGCTTTTGGGAAATCTGTATTTGTTTTTTCCCCAAATCCCTCAATGGTGACTGATTAATCAATAAACTTTTTTTTCTTCACCTCTTGCAGGAGAGATATTGTAATAATTAATCTAAATATTCTGTGATTTTTCTGGGTGCTGTGGTATTTCAGAGGAGGAAAAAAATTAAAATGAAAAAAGAAGTTTTACTATGAGGGTGACCACACACTGGAAGAGGTTGCCTAGAGATTTTGTGTAATCTCCACCTTTGGAGCCATTCAAAACCAAACTGAACACAGACCTGGGCAGACAGCTGTAGGTCATCCTCTGCTGAAAATAAGGATTAGACTAGATGATCTCCAGGTGTGCCTTCCCACTTCAACTATCCTGTGGTCCCTGTTTATTGTTCTGTGACTTAGATTAGTTGAAAAGACTTTCCTACAAGGGCACATTAATCTCTTGAATTTCACAGTATCATTCATGGCAACAGTTTCATTTTTCCATCAATATAAATGAATTAATTACAGATAAAGTACTGCAGTCCCTTAGGAGTAGGATATTTGGTCCATCTCTTTGCTGATTTGAGATGGTGTGAATTCATTTTAATAGGCTAATACTGAAGAGTAGTGTTGTTCATGTATTTCAATGAGAAGATACAGCTAAGACATTCCTCAATGGATGTACCTCTCTGGTTTATAAATCTATATAGATAGTGCTGTTAATTTATCTTGTGAGGTGTTTCCTTTTTTACTTGTGTAACAACTGCATGAGAGTTGAAGGGTCACTCATCACTTAACTTCCCAGGAGCTCGTTCCATTGCAGCAGACACTCATTATGACCACCTGGCCTTCCCTGGGA